TTTAATTTTTCAAAATAAATATCTAATATATTTAAACATAAGAAATATTTCAAAACAAAAACTTTATGAAATAAATCAAAACTTTGAATCAAAACAACAAACCTTTTGTTCTTGGCAAGAACATATCAAGAACAATGAAGAACATTCATGAAAACCCATAAGAGCTCCATGAACATTTTTCATCCAAAAACATCCCAAAACCACTCAAACTTAAGGGAAATAACATACAACCATACTAGGGTACATAGGGGTTCCAAAAGTCACTTTAAAACAATTTTAACAAGTCAAACAAGAACCCAAAATTCCACCCTTTGGATTTGGCCGAATTTCCCCAAAAACATGGCACCAAATTTTAGCTCCAAAATTCATGCTCATATGAACTACATCTACAACATTTGAGATGGCAAATTTTCTAACAAAATTTACATTCAAAGAAGCAAGAATAAAGCTTGTAACAATTACAACATTCAAATCACAAACTATGAACTACAAAACCCAAAAGGATTCACCAACTACTAGACTTAGGCTCTTGATACCACTTGAAGGAAAATTTGTGAAAAACATGTTCATTTAAGCAACATCAATAGCATGCAATTAACAATTAAAGGCGGAATCATGCTTGTATGCACTTAAAACAAAACATTTACCCATGAAATTCAAAGCCTAGTAGATAGGTGAACCAAGACTCAACTCAAAACAAAGTGAGTTGAGAAATCAATACCTTTGTAGATTCCTCTTTGCATAAGCAAAGGCTAATCACCCAAAGAGAGGGCCTTCATTCCTTGCATCTTGGATCCATGGATTTGGATGGATGAAAAGGTTTCTCCAAGTTCCCAAAATTGAGAACCTCTAAGTCTCCACACCAAGGTATATTGTAGAAGAAATGAGTGACCTAGAGGAAGTAAGATTGCTAGCTATTCCCCTCTAGATTGGCCAAAATTTTAGAGAGAAAGGAGAGCTTGTGTTCTCATCCTTTCCCCCAAAAATAACCCTTAGTAAATTTTAGGCTATAAAGTCCTTTATATAGTCCCTTCAAATAAGTGACCTAATGGACCAAAAGCCCTATTCTTTTACACATGGCTAGCCTATAGGTTTATTGGGCTTTCAAGCCCTTTGTTTTATTCAAGTTGTCATACAACTTGAGTTAATAGGCTTGACATTCAAATCCCATTGGGCCTTGCGGCCCAAAACTAACCCGAGGTCTTTAACGAACTTATTCGTTTGATTAATTAACATATTAATTAATCCTAGCCTTAGATAAATAATTAAACCATTTAATTATTCTTACTCATCTCCGTTGAATCTTCAATCTCTACCTTACACGGTGTACGATCCATTAGGTTCCTTTTAGCGAGGCAGTGGGCGATTCAAACTCTTTCAAATCGATTGTGAATTGAAACTTACTTTCAATTCTCCCGTTAGTGATAATACACTTTTAGGGCTTCCACAAACCATGAGTGACACCTAGCAGCATATCATGGTTACCCAAGCTAATCAGAAGAGGTGGAGAACCTATTCAGTTTAGGATTACAAATGCAATACGGTCTTTCTCTAATACAATACTCTTGACCACATTGTTTGGTTTGATAGTTTATTCATGTCTACTATCCAATGTGAATCTTGTACTTATATGATTACCTTGAATGTGATTTGGAACGCATTCCAACATCTCATTCATACTCTGGCCAGAGATTCTAAATCATATCATAGAGTATTCTCCCTCAAACAGTTTGAAGGTTAGAGATCCCTTGTTGCGCATTCACTTGCCTCCATGGCTAAGTGGCTTAACCCCAACGATGCCGTGGACACCCTGATAGAGTGACGTTGACATAATCAAAGATTAAGGACCTAACCACAAGACAACTGTGATGCCTCAGGTCAAAAGACTAATTTGCATTATCCCAACCATGAGTTCTCATGTGACATGAATATGAGAACTCTTCGTTGATCGTGTTCAGTGAACTCATTCTCTATTGAGCACCTACGTACTTGTCTTGATGTCACACACACCAATGACTCGAGACTAGTCACTCTCCCTGAGAGAAGACATAGCACGTACTGATCTTAACGGACTGTCAATGCCCAATTGACAATCCTATGATCAGGAACGTTTAGGATGTGTCAACGAAAGAATAGTCTCATGAATCTAACTTCTTTAGATCGCATTCTTCCAATCACATATTCCTTGGACTTATCGTTTAAGCATATAACATTTATATTAGACGGCTCAAACAATAATCTTTGCCCTTTACATTTAAACTACATTAGTTTGAAATGAACTACATTAGTTTGAAATGTCCGTAAAGTATCATCATATGATTGGTTTTAGGGCACATTTCCAACAGTATATTCCCATCCCTACCTAACACGAGGCATTTTGGGAGCTCATTGGCTTCGGGTTCCATGGGAACTCTGAAGTTAAGAGAGTAGCGCGAGAGCACTCCCATGATGGATGACCCACTAGGAAGTTCTCGTGTAAGTTCCCAGAAACAAAACCGTGAGGGCATGGTCGGAGCCCAAAGTGAATATATCATGGTGGAGTGAGCCTGGGATGTGGTGGACCCTGGACCGGGCTGTGACACTCTTGCTCTCGCCATTCCCATCCCAAATGGGTGAAGTTGCACAAATTCAAGTACAGAGTGAATAGTAAGGGCAATCCAAGTGTCTTTCCCTTGTTTTTGCTCTCCTAAAATGAGTGGAATTGCTCTTCAAAGTTTTAATCCAAGTGTCTTACCCTTGTAATGTAATTTGGTTAGGGCCTCAAAAGTCAACAAATTTTGGACAAATTGGCTATTAGTAATGCAAACGAACGGACACGATCGTTTTTTCACGTTAACCGTGAAAGATGAAGGCGCATGTATAATTCCCCACTTTAAGACATGAGTGGATAGAAGGAGTGAGAACATCCAGAGAAACACAGAAATGGCTTCAATTCCATTTACTAGCGCTGCTACCCACTTATGCTTCGCCGACAAGTCCTTCAATCCTCCAATCGAATTCAGTACCCGGTTTCTGGGCACCCGGAATAGGCTCGGGTGGGTCCGACCGGTTGGTATCGGAGCCTCCAACGGGTCGAGAGCCAAGTGCTGGTTCAAATTTGGTAAAAATGGTGTGGGTGCTGAAGATGCTGGCATTTATGGAAGCCAATCCCGTGACGATTATGATAAAGATGACGTTGAACAGGTTCTTTTACTCTCTCTCTCTCTCTATAGAAAACTCTAAATTTTCTGTTGAACAGATATGATGATGTTTCATGACTAGTTAATTAATCATGTAAACATAGTTTGGATATTTAATGTATGAGGTGGAAAGCTTTTATATCGGTAGTAGCACTCTAAACTAGGCTAAGAGTAGAAGGACAGGGTTTGAACCCAAAACGCAGTATGTTTAAGAGACTCTATCTACCAGGACAATTAACGACTTGCAAGCCTAAATTAAGATTGAAACAAGGTTTTATTTATAATATTCTTGGATACATAATCTTATGGTGTAAAGAGTATAGAGGAGAGAGCTAGAGCAATGAGGGTTAAAGGAAGAAATGAGATTGAGAAATTTATTCATCAAAAGCACATATCTTAGTAAGGTTTTTTTTACATTTTACTATTATTAACGGGAGGGTGGAGGGTTCGAAAAGTTACATTAATTTAGAAGAGGGGAGTTTTGAACTGGTATGCATAGGTAGAAATCCAACACATTGTCCACTAGGATATTGGACTATATGCACGTCTTTGTTAGTTCCAATATTCAAGAAGGAACTAATATTTGTGCTCATTGGCAAATGCTGATCAAATTATATTTCTTGCTGAGTTTTGAATTCTGGTTGTCCACCCAATGGGAATTTGAATAAGCGCAAGCAATTCTCAGGGCAGCAACGCTCATTTGCCGGCATATACCGGAAACAAAACTTGGTCAGGCCTCTTAAAACTTTGAGTTGATCTTATGAACTCAATAGCATTTTGGTTAGAGAGGGTCCGTTTTATTGTTTATACATTACTTGTGCAACCGAAACATGAGTTTTGTTGCATACAGCGAAACTTTTCAAATACGACCGCGATGGAGAACTCATGGTTATGCCTTTTGATGACAGTATTTCAACTACATGGGCATGCTTGCTGTGGAAGGTACATATGATAAGATGAACGCTCTTTTAAGTCAAAACATCCACCCAGTAGACGTTTTGTTGTTGATGGCTGCCTCTGAAGGTGACCAGCCGAAAATCGAAGAACTTTTGAGAGCCGGGGCGAGTTACTCTGTCAAGGACGCGGATGGCCGAACAGCCCTTGACAGGGCTGCGAGTGACGAAATCAAAGACCTTATTCTTGGTTTTTCGGTTCAAAAAGCATGATTTGGATAATATCTTAGCTCCTTTTTCCTTCTTTGGTTTGAGTTTCTCATTGTGTAATATTTTCAGTTGGTGATTTACTGCATCAATGGCTAGATGCTTTATCAATTTATCCCTTGCTTTGATTTATTTATTTTTGGTCATTGCGGATCTTGAGGCTTCAAAGTATCTATCTACTTTGAACAACGAAGGGATTTCATTTTTTATTTTTTATACTGGACTATTAATTAAACTAAAATATTAGCATACGAGTAAAATTGGATTTTTGACTTACTACTGCGGTCTAACACAATTCAACTTTACTTGAAAGTGAAATGTTTTAGATTCGAATCTTGAGAATAACAAGTTACAACCAATTTATCATCCATCCCTTAGTGTAAATTATATCGATGTAATAAAAAAGAGGCTTTGTGACTAAGGTTTCAGCAAATTTGACAAGGAGGATAATCAGATGACATGGACGGAGTTATCAACTCAAATGAGCCACTTAGTACTACGGTATAATGGTATTCCTCTTCACTTGTAAATGAGATATCTTGGGTTTGATTCTCGCCAAAAGTGAATTTGAACCACATTATTGCTGACCAATTGTAAGGCTAATCACATCCCTTTCTTCTTGATGTATATAATATTGTTCGTTAATACAAAAAACAAAAAATATACTCAAAAGGTGCTCAACAACGATATTATTAGAGAGCCTGATCTAATAGGCTACAATACGCATTTTACTGACGACCCTCACATAGAGTATCACTTTTGGGAGAACGGCTTACCATTCCTCTAAATTAAAAGAATACAAGCTCAAGCCTTACAACGTAAAGTTATTGGGGAAAATTACATCTTGCAACAAGTTTTATGCTTCTTTTTAGGCTTACTTGGTGTGAAATTAGAACTATCCCCGAACAAATTATAAGAGGACGGGAGGGGTTTACCACACGAAGCCTGCATGGGCGGCATCGTGGTCGTGTGCGCGACGCTCCAACAATAAACAGAAGGTGGGGTCAAGTTCAACCACACAAACTAACTTCTTTCTGAACTAATTACGGGCTTCTTCACCGCATCAAATAAACCAACAAGCTCTCAATTCCAGATCAAGAAAATCGTTTGTATAAAGCCTGTTGCATTCCGATCTACAACTTCCCTATGAATTCATTACCACGACTAGGTGTTCTCGAGTAAATCTGACAGATTAATAGCAAAGAAACGATTTAGTACTTGCAGTTATCCCCAAACTGGAGAGACAAGTAATTGTCAACCGTCAAAGCGTCTCGTAGATAATCAGAGCGTAAACAAGTCTATATTGTGACAATGGGGAACTAGTAAAACAACACAGTATGTGCACCAAAAGAAATCCAGCTGTGTGTGTTAACTACGAAAGTTATGTGAGCATGCATAATCAGAAACGATGAATTGTATATTATGGAAACTGAGTGTAAAAGCCAAGAAAGTCCATCAATGTCCTAGTCAAACACGCACCATAATCTAACTCAACCTACTTCTGGCAAGCCTCAAAACCCTTACTCCTGATATTCATAAATAGACTTCACTTATGCATGTGGAATTGGATGAAGTAGTTGGCTCATCATCAATCAAAATCTTCACCCAAAAGTCCCACGTAAAACATCGGGCGAGACCAGTCTTTGTAATTAAAAGCATAGGTCCAAATAGAAGTGACTAGCATATTCTTCTTCTCACAAATAAACATGAATACTTTAAATAGTTTTGCATATAAACTAAAAGCCATTTCCATAAGTACCTGTGCGGAACTTCTATCTTTTGCTTCTGAAAAAGGAAAAATTGTCATAATCAGTTGCAATCACATCATATAGCGTCTGGGTGATAAATGGCAATCTAGGACAACGAAGGTAACATTACTCTTTGATCATCTCCTGCTTTGATAGCTCCGTCTCATTTTTTCTAAATCTTCCTCTAAAAGGGATTCAACCTTGCCCGTATGCCACCAACATATCCATTACAGGGCCTCATGTACGGCCTCTTGCACACAGAAGGTATCAACCTGGATGGATGATGTGTCCATAACAAACGTTTATGCACCTGCAACTTGATAAGTTGAAATACCACTGCAATCAGAAATTTAAGATTCTGAATGAAAGAACCTGTTTTTTTATAAGCAATGATAAGTGAAAAGCATAACAAGACATATTGCTTGCAGAAGGATTTGGACCACTTGCAACTTGAAGGATTATATCTAACAGACAAGCAGGAATGAGGGATAAGCATGCTAAACATTTCAAATTTACGATTAAGTCCAGCAATACATAGAGTCTAACCCTCCGTCCGTGGGGGTAGGAACTCAGTCCATTAAACTTAGACCCAATAGTCCGTTAAACACAATTCCTCTCCATGTATCAATTATTTTCAAACATGATTTCAATATCTAACAGTGTAAGGGTTTACGGTTAGTGACCACCAATGATTCAAATAACGTTATCCATTCTCTAAAAAAATTATCTTCTGTTCATCTAACTAGGTTGTGGATCAGAACTGAAAGATACCATATTTTATGTGTCGCCATGACAATATAAACTGATTAAGAAGAAATGTGTACAACTAAATTCACAAATGCCAACGGAAACAGACAGCCTGCTGCATCAGGCCTTTTGAAGCCTAAGCAACTGGTAAGGTTAAAAGATAGTGAAGATTGGGGCAAAATGGGCCATGGATCAAATGGACTTAGAGAGACAGGCCTCAGTCTCTCAGACTCTCAGTACTAAAAGATCTGGTCCAAAAAATTTAGATAACGAACTGATATTCAATGGTCTTAAATCACCGTAAAATACTTGTTGAAAATTGACATTTTCAGATCAAAATAATCAATTTCTATTTCCAGCAAAATCACGACCAACTGGTAAGGCAATGGGTTTTGGTTCTGCTATTCAAATTTTTGACCATCATACAACACAATAATTAGACTTCTTAACCCACAGAGTACCAGACTACCAATAGCACAATTGTAATGGATACGCAAAGGCTCATCATACAACTCACACTGAGTTTGATATTGTACAATGAAGACTATGATGGTATAGGCGCAAGATGACAAAATTAAACGAACTCTAACAAAAGTGCATGGTAGTGGAATACCCATAAACAAGATTTAACAGGCAACGCTCATTAAACTAAAGAAATATTCATCTGAATGAAATAATAAAATTCAGAACACTGGTAGTTCATACACGGAAATCATGATAAACTCCCAGGTTCATATAAGTACAAGCAGGATAGCATGGGAAACAAAGATATCAAATTTAGTTGATAGGAATTTCAGCTTCCAAACACAGTATAAAGGGCATGAAATTATGACTCGAAGTACCTATGAATCAATATCCAAGGTCGTTGGGATCACCAGTAAACTCGGCAATCTGCTCGAGACCCACATTGAGCAAGGCATGGGTATCGGAATCCTTGACAACACCAGTCTCTCTGTCAGAATCCTTCTCCACAAGACTACCATAGACCCCCTTATGCTTCCCAGATAACACAAGAACCGGTCCGCCACGCCTTGGCAGGGCAGTCTCAAGAAAATCCTGGGACACCCCCTGCACAAGCTCCCTACTCCCATCCATAGATATATCACAGGTGTAGGGTCCAACAACATCCATCACCTCTCCTTTTCTCAAATACAATTTCCCACCTTTCAAGTCCTTGCTAATAACCCTGACCCGAATGTTCCTCACAAGCCACGTCGAATAACCCCTCGGCTCCTCTCGTCTGGGCTTACTATCACTGCCCACTTTCCTTTTTGTCTCATTCAATCTCCTCAAGCACTTCTCTTCTTCTTTCGAACCCAATTCCGCAACTTCATCCACATTCACTTTTACTACCTCTTCATCTTGCCCCTTGCTCTTACTCAACAGCTTCAAAACCAGTTTCCCATTACCCAATTTCTCCAAAATCCTACCTCTCAAACCCACATAGTCTCGACCCGCAACGATCCTAACTTCCTTCCCCACATCGCCTTCTTTTCTCTTCTCCTTCTCTTTGGAATTCTTTCTATCCTTCTCTTTCGAATTTGCAAGAAACCCTAACCCGTGCTTATCAGTACTCCGAGTATACTCCACAATTTTCACATCTTCCTTCGCATTCTTCCCAATTCCTCTACCCGGGTACCACCCGTACCCGGTAAGCAACGCCTCGCCGTAACCCTCCACCGGCATCTCTTCGTACTCCTCCAACCCCCTATGATCCGACAACCGCTCCAAATCGTCTTTTAACTTCTGCAGCAGCGTATCCTCCACGCCTCTCGATCTCGGCCGCTCATCGTTCCCCAACCTCTCCCGATTCTCGGATTCCGATTTCTCCCGAAGATTGAGACCATACGAAATCTTGGCGTCGGGGTCGTCGTTGACCGAGAGCGTCTCGACCTCGAACTGGAGCTCGTCGCCGTTGGGCTCGGTGATGGGGAGCTCCATGTTCTTCATCTTCTTGTGGGGCCGCCATTCGTTGGGGATCGGGGCGATCACGCGGGCTTTAGGGTCGGCGGATAGGGGTTTTGAAGCATCGAATTCGCTGACGAAGTGCTTGGAAGCGGCGTCGTTTGCGTTGTTTCCGGTGCCGTCGTCGAAGTTGGCGGTGGCGGAGGAGGGGTTGCGTTTAGGGTTTGACTTGGAGGATTTGGGAGGGAGAGAGAAGGAGAGTTTCATGGGTTCTCTTTGGTTTTTTCCAGAAATGAATTTGCCAGGCTTGCTAGCTACTAGTAGCTATGTTTATGTTTGCCTGTGTTTTTGGTGTGGGCTTTTATTGGGCTTTATTTTGACCCGAGTCCCTTAACTTAACCCGTTCCAATTACGATTGGGCCAAATCAGACAATTGTAAGTAATAAATTATGGGATATTCTAGACGATAATCGGACGATGGGTTGGAGCCTATCGAGCATTTTTAAATAAATTTATTATATATTGTACAAATAAGTGTCTGTTTGTAATTAAAAAAATACATAATTGCTTTGAGATATATAAATTGAAAATAGAATAACATATATATTATAAAGTATTAGAACATAATACAAAATGAAAGTTATGTATTTTCTGTTTAAGTGAGAGTCGCGACCTGAGTGATGCTTATACAGGCCCCTAAGCAGATATGTGTCATTTCTTAATTTTTAAACGCCTAGGGATTAATCAAGACTATGACCAGCCGCCTAATGCGTAAGCAGGGCCTAGGCGGTGATAGGCGAAGATTTTACAACAATGGTTGTACAGTTAAATCCAATGGCCATAAATAAAGGGTGGTGTGCGAGAAACTTAAAAAATGTGTGAAAATCACTTTCCATCATTTTGTTTTTTTTTTGTTTTTTTTTTTTCAAACGATAAATTTTATTAAATAAAATAAGTTTAACATAAAAATTATAGACATTGTTATTAGCAGTCCAAAAATCTCATTCTACACTCCTCACAAATATATTTTTCTTTCTAATTATGGAAAGTTTGAAGTGCCAAATGAGATTTCTGAAGTGCTAATAATAATTCCCAAAATTATTTATAAAATATCATCTTACAGTTAAATTTCTCTTTGCACCAGTATGAAAATTACAAAGAAGAACCCATGAATGGTACGAACAACGACTTAATCTCTCTTCTAGTTTGATTTGTAAGGACAGAACAGATACAAACAAGAAGAGCAAAGACTAAGCAGCTCAGGGCTATTTAAAATAAAGCTGAACAAGCTTCTTTAAAGTGTCGAATATGCTCGTAAAGGGATCAAATTGAACTGGTTTCTTCAGTTCTAGATCAGGAAATTGATTTGTTAAGGCCTGTTGCATCCCGGGCATTGACATCATTGCAGATAACCGCGTGTCCGTCATTTGCTCACAGTCTTGTGGTGTGTCCTTGATTTTGCTCGGGTCATATCCGAAGTTGGCCAAGTAAGATTTGTACTTCTCTATGAACTCAGGACCAGGATTAGGTGTTCTCGAGTAAATCTGTAATTAATGCCACAAAACGACTCACAAGTAAATGAAAACAGAATATGAAGATATGATTGATGCATCCCTGAATGGTAAAGACGCGAGTAAAACTTGCGCAACAAGCTTCTGCATCTTAACAGTGCAGTTGTGAGCGTATATAATATGTGGAGTGTAAAAGCACAAACAAGAGCCAACCAATGAGCAGAAAAAAGAACAGCTTTACATCTTAACAATCCACTTGTGTGTGTACATATATATATATATATGTGTGTGTGTGTGTGTGTCTCCTTTTAAGAAAGATGGGACAGTTGTGGCCTGCCCAGCAATGCGCCGGTGATCCAATGATCTGATCATCCATATTTCACGATTTACTTTCAAAGATCATCCCTACAAGTTATATTTAATTATGATCGTGGAGTGTATACTATTTTCTGTAATGATCCGTGAAAAATAACCCAACAATGGATTCTTCTGGATTCCCTTTCTTTAAGTCCAAAAAATCGAAGTATTTGTACCTAAAATGTCATTTCGGGTGAGACCAGAGTGGTGCTCTCGATTGAAAGGAAGGTACAAACAAGTGTCAAACAAGTGACAAGAGTATATAATGTTCAAACAAGTAAACACGAGTCATTTTATTTAACATTCGGATAACTTGAAAGTCAGTTCATGAGTAAGTACCTGTATAAAACCCTTGTCTTTCGCTCCCGAAACAAGAGCATAATTGTCATAATCAGTGTCAATCACATCATATGGCAGCTTAGGGATAAATGGCAACGTTGGAAAACGAAGGTAACACTTCTCTGTGATCATCTCCTGCTTTTCTAGATCCGTTTCTTTTTTCTCCAAATCTTCGTCCGAAAGGCATTGAACATTTCCCCGTATGCCAGTAATATATCCATCAGGGCTCCCATGAACACAGAAGGTATCAACCTGGATGGCCCGTTTCGCCAAGTCAAATGTATATACACCCTGCAATAATAAGTTGATATGGTTTTGCAGTCAGGTAATAGGTAGTGAACATGTGACAGAAAGAACCTGTCATCTATAAACAATGAGAAGCAAATCATCACAAGAAAGCTGATTTCGCTTTCAGGATGATTTCGATCACTTGAAACTTGGAAGGGCTATCGGTAAACAACTAGATAGCTCAACAATGATTAATGAATAGGTTCAACAGTTGGGATCTGCACTCGTGTCTAATTCAAAAGAAAGGGGATTATATATTTTCCTCTCAATTCTACATTATTTCCAGAAGCAAGAATTCAAACAAAACGTCGCAGTTCATAACTACACGTACCCTTTGTGTTTACCTGGGTGCAGTGGCAGTCTTCCTGACCTTGCCCAGCAAATCCGCGTTTAAGCGAAGCAACTTCAAACCACCTTCCAGAATATCTAATAGGGTCAAAGTTATTTGCTGTCATGCCTCTCATCATCATTAGCCTTTCATCTCCTTCATCGGATCCCTTATCGAGCGGAAGAGTAACTGCCTTCTCCGAAGCATTTGCAAACTCATATATATTTCGTTGATGGGAAACATCTAATGCAACCGCCTGCCAAAAGCAGTAAAAGGCATCATGTATCTTCTACCTCCTGCAATAACACAAGAATACCTAAATCTTTTTCGTTACTATAACCATAAGGCAACCTAGTTTTGGACTAAATTCCCCATTAAACTTTCAAGCACATTCAAAGTCCGGCATATTCTATTGGAAATCCTAATCTCATTTAAATTGGTTGTACAGAGTGAAGCCTTAAAGGAAGTGAAAACTCAGTGTTCCACGAGGTTTCAAATAAAAAATCAAGAACACCAAGCTCAAACATCTCAGCCAGAAATGCTGTGACATTCCTGACAAGGGAAAGAACTCGAACAAATGTTAATCTAAGGGGGTAGCTTAGACAATGTCCAGCAAGGAAATGATTGGTCCAACACCTATGTTTTTTTATGTAATCTGATGAGCCAAATTTAGCAACTAGCAATACAAATATTGTGCTAGTATTAAATTCCAGTATCCTATAACGCTACGAAAAATTTAAATCTACTAACCTGGTTCGTTTGAGAGATGAACACTAACGTTGCAGCAAGCCCGGATAAAACCTGTCTGGTCAGAGGCTTGCTGCTGAAACATTGCTCCAAACAGCAACTCATCATCATCTTACCAGGCACTCTCCTGTAAAGAACAGGAACAAAATGTCACTCTTTGCAATCAGAAAAGACGAAACGAAAAACATCAACTTGGAAAATGTTGTCAAAATTTAAAACCAAACCGTATGTAATTCATGTAATCACTTATGAATCCGAGAACACAGAGGCATCTATGCATATGTAATTACATAAATTAGACAGGATCATACGGGAATTGCACTCTACATCAACCTATCGGCTATAGTTGAAGATCAAAACCCACAAGACTACTTCACATTTACCATTATTTTTATCTTACTACAAGCGATATTTCTACTCTAAGTTATCTAATGGGAGGGGGAGAGTTTGAACCGCGCAGCGCCCGCCCCCAGGGGGGGTGAAGTGGAGCGCAGTAGGTTGAAGAGGACGGTCCTAACCACCAGGGCAATCCTTCACTTGTGAAACCAAATCATTTACGAGCAATTACAGCAAGATTATGATAAATAAAAAAAATAAAAAATAAAAATAAAAAAACAGAGAAAATGAAAAAATAAATAGCATTAACAAAAAAATTTAGCAAATATAGCAAAAATTGCCTCATAACAATATAAGGTCATGGAGTGGGAAATGGAAATGAGTGAGAATTATGAACCTGCTGGTGGAGACATTTGGAGGAGGAGGAAGAGAGCATTGGAGAACAAGTACCATTTTCTTTGCTTTTCCTTTCAAAAGCTCCAGAGTTTTCCACAATTTCCACCAGCAAGATGTCTCCCCTCCCTCCTATAATCCCATCAAAACGTCACCGTCTTGATCTCTGCAATATCCTTTTCAACCACCTGTTTTTAGTGAATCAGCTAGGCCCCAAATAATCCAAACCCAAATGTCCCAACAAACCTCAACCAATCCCATATAAAAGTTTTGAACTAACTATTTTTTTTTTTTTTTTTAAATGATGGGTCTAAAAGGATGAAATGTTGAGTTTATAAAAGTGACGTGATGAGTCTATAAAAACTTCTGATCAATTTGGCAAATAAAAGTTAAGATATGATTAGCATCCAATAATCCAAAATTATATAATGGAGTTTTGGTCGTATACTTTGACAGGTAACATTAAATTTACTATGTATATGGGCGTAAAATGTAGAAAGTACCGACCGTTGGATTCAAAGTTTCTCACATTTGTGTCTTGGCTTCGGCCAAAAACAAGGTAGATAAAGTGGAGACGTTAAAAGAGTTTTGGGCATATAAATGTGTGGATGAGAAAGCCCTGCAATTATTCAAAGACTTCCACATACCAAACTCCTTTATATTTTTTGTTCACTTTTGTTGCCCATAAAAACAACAAAAAATAAAAAAAAATCGGATTTCAGTAACAGGGCGGTAATCATACATAATATAACCTTTTACTCGACCTAAAAGGACACCACCCTTTTTAGTGATGTTGGAAAATTTAATTGGGACAGAAAGAAAAAAAAAATGATCGTATTGCATTGTAAATGTAATACAATAGGTTCTGGTGTCGCTCATGATCCATGAGATTACTCAGAAGAGACTACTACTCATTACATTTCCACCAGAAAGCAAACTGAATAATGGGTCTTCCTTGGTACTCTTACTGATGTCATTTTCTTTAGAATGGATTTCAGTTGTATTCGCCGTCGAGTATAAAGGTTGCTTCACTTGTATAAACGCCACTTCAACAGGTCCAGACTTCAGTTTTGATGCATCGGAACTTGAAGACAAGCTTGTGCCTGTTAGCAAGCTGCCTTCTTCGGAAAACTTCTCGCTCGGATTCTCTCCAATGTCTGGACCATCTTCGCAACGCTCAACCAGCTGACTGTTATCACCGTCGTTGGACAGGCCTGACATCAAATTGATCTTATTCACCTTGACCTCGACTGGAACTTTTTCAGCACTGTGGTTTGCATCTGCCGTTTCAGGAATAGTTTCATCATCTGGCACAAACCAAAAATTTAACAGGAATCAAGTAAATTATAATTCCATTACATTAAACTACATGAACCAAAGTTTAAACAAAGAACAAAGTTTTTCACGATGAAAAAACAAAACTTAGACAAAGCTACTATGCACAATTTTTAGAACCAAGTGGATAACCGTAAACCTCTGCTTAACCAAGTTCTTTAGGACTTCATGTAGACTTTTCAAACACTTAAACGAAACCTGAATAAACCTTTAGGAGAAAATTAGTCACTCGTACGACTAAAATTACATCATACTGGAAGATGTGTTCGGAAACATACGATGTATTCGTATTGCTCAAATATAGATGCATAAGCACAACTTATTATGTTTTTGTGCAGAAACATAGAAGTCCAAAAGGTATTTTTCGTATTTTATGAGAACACAAATTTTATTGATGGGATACAACTAAAGATACAAAGCACGGTGGACAAACCATCCTTTCAAATGTGCAGAACCTCTAACCTACCAGTGGCTAAAGACATTGTAAAAGCCTAAGAATAACTCAAAAACAACATATACACATGAAAGATAGAAATAGAAAAAACTTGGTAATCTTTGCTTCCCATCAGTATGTACAAGGAAGAATAGTATATCCTGAAAATGAGAGAAAGTTGAAGCCCCCAATGCCTTCACTGTATAAAAATGCTCATGTCGATGACAGAAAATAATTAGCCAAGACACTGAGCGTCTTTATCCATGTGGCATAGACAATATCATACAGCAACAAGCATATAAAGCAGCAAAGTCAATCATGTCACATTAGAACAATTAACATTGCAAATGGAGGAAATTAAGATAAGCAAATGGAGGCATAACGTACAGTATGCTGCTCTCCATTGCTGGATTTAATCCAGCGACATCTGACCAAGAAACTCTCTGGTCCAAGGGACCAGGTGAACAGAACTGTTCAATAGAGTAAAAAATAAATTATCCATGAGTATCCTCACCTCCAAGGATAGACTCAGTGCTTTGATACAGCACTGATGATTCCCCTAAACAAAGATCTCCATCATGAGTTGCAATCTCAGTCTTATGTGTCCTCTCAATCAATTCAAACTTATCTGATTTCCACACACACTCAAGAATGATAATTTCCTCATTTGTAGGGTAAAACTCCCTAAACACCTGCATCAATCGTGCATAAAGAGAACAGTTAAAAAACATAGATCTAAAAATAATTTGATACCAGAATAATTTTCCAAATAAAAGAAGAAGTGACCTCAAGTCCTCCTTGAATTATCTTGACGGATTGCTGTTTTTGGGAGAGAGAAGAAACCATGTTGAATACTGAAACAACATTGAGTAGAATCTGTAGAAAATAGAGGAAAAGAAACGTTCAGCAAATCAGTCCAACTCCAAGAGATGAACTTAAAGCATGACATGTCCCTTTTTCTTTTTTTCTTTTTTGTCAGAAAAAAGCTTGAATCTTGAAATGTCCAAACTTAGTGAAATGGCACATTCCTCAGGGACACCTCATAATATCCTAAACATTATTACTTCTTTGGATACCTCAATCCCATGTTTAATCACTACAAAATGCTGCTGCAGCATGTACATTTTCCCTTCATCATGATACCACAAACTACACACTTGGCTATAGACATGTTTAACAAAAGGATAATGTTTTGTGGGATAACTCAGTTCCATGTTCCTTCGCCTCCAGGTTTGTGGGAATTTATGAATGGGTTCAGAACTTGAACCATCTATACGATAAGAACATGAGCATATTTGCCATAAACTACAGACAGTTAATAAATAATCTGTACAATTCAAATTAAAAATTATGGGAAAAAGGCTTGGAGTTACTTCTTACTTGTTGAACCAAAACTCGAAGTCGTCCAAGCAGAGCTAACACAGTCAGAGAAAATCCCATGAAGAATGATCGAGCAAGCAACGTAGATATCTCACTGTAGAATAGTCAAGATCAACAAATTCACAAGATGGATGTGCAATTTATGTTTGGTGATCCAAGGGCTAGACTACTGGATACAGAATGGCAATCAGTTTGCAAAATAATAGTTTAAAAACTTAAAATAATCATGCTGCAATAACAAAGAAAAAAATTGGTCTATGTGAAAAGATACATTGCAAATCTAATACTATGCAAAAATGCTTACAGCTTACTTGGGAAACTAGTTATTAAGATAATTTGACCAAGACAGCAGTTCTCAGACACTACTGTGAGACTCGGATGCATTAGACATATGGTAATGTGATAGCCAATTGGACAGCAGCTTTCACATTATTTCTGATCTTATAAAAGTTACAAGAAAATTCCTATATGTGTAAATAGTAAGCAAAGGATACATAGCCGCCTTCAACATTGGCTCAACCATCTGCAACAGAAACAAAACACAGTTAACATGTTAGAATAGAGCATGTATTTCATGCTGGACTATCTAACATGGTCCTCATCACAAGCATAGAATCGGTTACAGGATCCAAGTATGCACAACCATTCACAGAAAGACATATGAATAGATAGATCACTTTTGACACCTGGCATTCAATTGTATAAGACACTCATGTAACATGAGCCACAAGTAAAAATATCTTGAAACATGATTCAGGTATCTTCATAAATCAAAAGTAAACAATGTAATGATGTAACCTCATGTTTGGACTCTTCTAAGTTAACATGTTGTATACCTCACATCCTCAAATGAAAGTGAAAGGTTTCTCCGCTTATAGCAAACCCTAGCAGTTAATTGATCTCGCAAACATTATACAGAATAAAGCATTATTAACCACTATTATGATGTTTACGGGAGGGAAAATTAACAAATCATTTGATGAAAGCAAGAAAGCACCTGTGATAAAAGGCGTGCAGCTCCAAGAAGTCGCTCCATAAAATTATGCTTTCCATTTTCACATTTCCTTCTCTTCAATCTGTGACACAACGATTTGGCATGTGGTTTTAATATAAACTATGTAGACAGGATAATGAAAGCTTTATGCCTGTTAAACACAGAGCTGAGATTTCCAATTTAGAAGACAGAGAAAACTCATTTACCTATAATCCTGATTCATAACAAAAGATAAAGTTAATAAACCAAAAAATACAATATGTTATACATTTTCCTTCCTTTTAACAAAATAATTATGAATTTCATAATAAGCTTTCTTGGAACTCTAATTAAAGTTTAATTATGCGCTGATGAAACGTCTACTCCGCTCTACCTCCCTCCAAAAAAAAAAAAAAATGCAACATCGGATGATAAATGAAATTCATGTTTTACCTTTCTAATAAGTGCAACTTCTGCTTAGGTCTCTTCCCAGTAATACTTTGGAAACAGCAACCCAAAAGTTCCTCCAGTTTAGTTGATTGTAAAAGCCTCAAATCCCTCCTTACCTGATATAAACAAAAGTGAGGCAAACTACGTACACGCATACAAAACAGTAAAGTAAAACACATAATAGATGATTAAATTTTAAAACTTCACCCTCATTAATGCATACCGAAACATTTCTTGTTCTTCCATAAATTTTCAAGGCAATCAAACAAAAAAGTAAGAAGCTTACAACTGTAAAAACGGCTAACTTCAAAATTTAAAACCGACTTTAAGACGTTGTGCAACAAAAACCCACCATTCAAATAATAAAATCATGCTTGATACAAGTTTAAAATAAAAAATAAAAAAATAAAAAATAAATAAAAAACTCCTCTTTCATGAATTTTCTGAGGAACCAAACAAATGGGTAAAAGCATTATGATCATAAAAAGGTGGGGAATTCGAAAACCTTCATAAGGTACTGGAAATAGGAGCCGCGCCTGTGCTGGTTCTTGTTCTTGTACACCATTCTTTCTAGGATGGCCGTCTCTGCTTGAAGCTGACCAAGCAAAGATACTAACTTCTCCTCCAGAGCTTCTGCTTCAGCATCCATTGAGTCACTGCAGATTATCATTGTTGGAGAAATTGTGATTGAAAATATGTATCATACAGGCATTTAAGCAAACAGTTTGTGTGCAATGGGAGCTGAATTTTTGTAGAGTGATTCCACACGGCTTTTACCAAATCTATGGAGACCCAATTTCTCTGAATACCTTTAAAGGGAGCTCAGGCCGCCGTACACGGTGAAGGAGATAGGGAGAGGGGTGGGGGAGGAGTCGGCGGGAGAAGATGGTTGCAGCGGCAACTTCTTCTTCTCCTTCTTTTTATTGTTATTTTATTATTTTGAAAACTTTTTGAGTTTTTGTTTTGTGATTTTTATTTAAATTTCTCTTAAATTGGACATGTATCTTAAATAGCCCATTGTTTAGTGGGCTTAAATATGTCTCTGATGGGATATTGGGCTCAGACCCATGTCCAACTCATTGGCCCAACATCAAACATGGGTTCGAAGACGAGCTTCTTCATTCTCTGGCCTTTTTAAAATATGAGATCGATTAGTCATCAAACTGTATTAAAACAGATGGTTAGATTGATAAAAATATTACGAACTATCTTTTTATTTGTTATAATTGATTAACTAAATAATCTTAATTTTAATTCATTTTTTTCATAGATAAAATTTACAAAATGATATTATAATATAAAATGTCTGACCATACACGCAAAGTTATGTGAATCAGTCAAGAAAGAGTTTTTGAGGAAAAATTCCTTCATAATTCGTGTAGCCAAGCATTGTTGCTTTTTGACGTGGTTTCTCCATTTTGGCGGGCTGATTTTTCTTCTTTCTTGCATGGTAGGTAACTTCCTCTTCTACCATCACAAGTGAATGTTATGAATTTTTTCATCATTGTTTCTCTATTCTGGTACTTTTTCAAAATCACAAGTGAAAAAGACGCTACTAAAATGAATGAAGTTGAAGTTTCATCATAAATCTAATACGTAATATAAAAAGAAGTCCAATTACTTATAACATGTAAGGTCGTTTATTTTTTCACTGTGAGATTTATACTTGCAACAATACCCTCTCAAATGCGGCAAATTTTCAAGCATAACACGTTACCATGAGCATATGATGGTTGGACTTCAAACATGAGACAACATGTTCTAACATAAAAAAGGAAATTAAAATTTCGTAATAAAATTAATTAAATACGTTATTTACTTATGAACATATAAATTTATTTTCATTTTCTCGATACGAAATTCATACACTCAGCATAAAATTTGTTCCTGGACTTCCAGATGAGTCTCTCATTTTGATCAGTAGGAACTTCCGAATGTTTTATTCTTTCTAGAACAAATGTTGATGTGTTGTATGAACCACTGTTATTTGGCTCCCATGAATGAATAACTCAATTTGAAAATTTATTTGAAAATTCAATATAAAGAATAAGCACCCTCTCATCTTTGAATAATGATTGTCTGTCCTCCCATTTCCGATGTTTTTCCGTGCCCTCATATTTTGTGTGGTTACGGTTAAGTCACTTCAACATTTTATATTTTTTTATAGAGATAATAAGATAAAATAAATAGTAATATAAAATATTGACGTGACTTAACTATGATCATACAAACAGGAGGCACCGGAAGTGGGAGGAGACAATCCTGGTCCCTCATCTTTTCATTTTTTTTATTGTGTGTCACCACGTGTCTTGACTCGAGCATGGCAGAGAAATTCGAGTACATCTAGTCATACTTCCTTTCTAGTTTTGCTTTATCCTATTTTGACTGTTTGGTGTTAGATCTTATCTTATCGTAGATTTTCTTCTTATGTTAAATCTAACTCATATCCAGGTAGTTGTTTTTTGAGTACGATGTTGAATTGTTAACCACCATTTTGCAAAATGATTTTATTGTAGAAGCTCATATCTTTTCTTCGAGGATCGTTTTAGTCTAATCAATATTGTCATGATTTATATAACAACCGAAATATCACGATTTATAATTTCACAACATAATATATTACAAAATAACTTGTTCATCATTTATAATTCCAGGTTTTATTGACATTCTACAATTTATTAAGCATACATGACACCTATTTAAAATTTGGGAGTATTGAATAATTTATATGACCTAATATGAATAACAATTGAAGACTTAAAGTTTTTTAAACAATTTTGTTTTCTTTGTACACCCCCTTGCCCAACATAAGATAAACTTGCATCCAAAACACCATTTTCTTCAAGCTCTCAAGTTTATTGTCATCACCATCTTAGTAGAACAAAGCAAACTTAACCGTAAAGACACAAATTATGAAATATGTTGTTTAAAAAAGTTATACTCAGCGAATAAAATATAAAATCGACTGTTCAGAGTTTCCATGATTTCATTTTTTTTTTGTTGTGCATTAGTTTTAACGATGTTCATACTATTGGCTGTAGAGTATGACCGCGATAATGTTGCAATTTCTTTTCCATGAGCATTTCAAATTTATCACTTTTAGAAGAAAAAGGATTTATCTATTAATTAACAATCAGTATTCTCTATATTTTCTGAGTGGAGTTTGGTAGGACCTATTATATACACTCCACCCTAACTCCATGAGCCCTGACCATGACCTACCACGATCGAAGACAAACATCAAATATATTGGTTTGGTGAGAAATTAGAATAATAAAATTGGTAAGTGGTTATAGTCGTATTAGCTGCACAATTAGAATATTATCTGCATTATATAGACGTACAAAACCATTTGACCTAATTTATACCCCAACCCTATAGGTACTTCCCAACCAAAAGAATATTGCTGATTAAACTATACAATTTAATTAACAAATCAAATGACGGTAAGATGGTCATTAATATATGCATGCTTGGATTAGACTAATTAACCCTAAAAAATGTAAAATAGTTATACTTTTTTTTCAACCATATTCATAGGTGAACTAAAACTATAGAAACTGCTATTAATATTGCATAAAATTAGCCGCAGAAATACTTGAAAGTTGTACCAGATCTCGACTTTTGAGAGGCAAAGCATGGAAAGTGTCAAATGTTGCACTTTCAGATAGTCCAAGCTATTATCGATCATCAAAACCTAGCTAGCTTCGATAATTTGCATGAGCTTTGGGGAATTTTCTTTTGAGAAATGCTAAGAGAACTATCAGTAGTGGGACTCTTCATGTACTACCATTTCATAGTTTAACATTAATTCTCGTGATAATATTGTAAAATATTGTGCAAAAAAATGAGATGACAGAGAGCCCATGAAAAGTCTCACTTTTGAGACCGTCCCCTTAGCATTTCTCTTTTCTTTTATATCTAATTGTTTTATTCTTGTTGGTTAGTGATGAGAAGTTTGTGTTTGGTATCAAATAATATATTATATGTTGTAATTGCCAACACCCCAAACCCTAAACGATGAAGCACATAGAATTCCATAATATTGTTTCCGAAGGAGAAATATCAAATATCATAAAAATAAAAAAAAATAAAAAAATTCTATTTAGCAACCATGAATTATATAGAATTATGGACAGGTGTCTAACGTACTTATAATTTGTAGCAATTCCACTAATGCATTTCAAATTTAAGAATAATTTGATTACTTGACTCATGTTTTTAATTTATTGTTAATTTTTTTCTACCATAGGCTCCTGAGTTTAATGTTAATTGTTCTTTTTTATTTTTTTATTTTTTTTTTATTTTCCCGTTCAACAGCTCTTATATCGTCATATACCCAACCCTTTACTTGATTATACAACAATATATTTACACAGGTAAAACTGTGTAGGGCTTGCGTTAAGTCACACAACTACTCAACACATTTAAATTGATATTAAACTCTTTAATTTACTAAAGTTGAACCTAACCGACTTATAACTCCAAACAAGGATAAAACTGTGATGAACTTTTCTTAATTTACAATCAAGTTTTGAAGTTTAAATAATAATTTGATGAATATACCAAGTGGTTGATTGCCTTGTTATAGTGATAAAAAGGGCACTGATACCTTATATTGTAATAGAATTATAGTGGATTTCATGCAATTTTCCATCAATATACTTACTTTTAGGATCCATACCTTCATGTTTGTAACTTGACATTAACATTATTAATATAGTGTGTGAATTACTAAAAAGTGGAAGGTTACACTATAATCATCAACTTTTACAGTCCAGTAATAATAATAAGGTTATAGTTAATAACACATAATAATATTGTTATTACTAGAATAAAATTGGTGTTTACGTTGTGAATGTCCTATTACACTATCAATATAGAATGTTATATATGAACCTGATTACATTGCAAAAGTATTGTTCAAAGTAAAAAGTATCAGGGTATTTTTTTTTGTTAAAAAATACTGTAGACTAAACACATAAAAAGTAGTACATTCGCCGAAAGGGTAAAGAAGAATTCATTGAGGAAAAAAAAAACGAAGAAAGAGTAAAGAAGAAGCAAGGGTACCATACCAACCACTGAAGTAAAGAAAATATTTCTTTTTAATTACTTTCTCTAAATTCTGAAATTAATGGTGAAAAAACTGAAGAAGCAAAGAGTTAGGGGCTGAGGTGGGCTTTTGAGTCATTGTCATGCGGTTCAAAGTTTTCTCCTTTATTCGGAAAAGTCTGAAATTCCCTTGATCTAGATCCACCAACCAAACCAACACAGGTGTCACAGATGTCTATTTCTTTTTGTTTATGTCAGGAAGGAATCATACCATCTAAGCTATGATCTATCATTTAGCTAATTAATAAGCTTTAAGGAGGAAATGTTACAGTACAATACCATTTACCATGTGGCTAAAACCATGTGCTAATAGTTGTCATAATATAATCGAACTGATATTCTCATGGGATGATGAATGCTCTTAACCAATTAAACTATAAACTCTTTTAAGAAAATAATTAATAGTAAAAATGGTTTCCAATTTGAAGTTGAGTTTAAGATGATTAAAGAGTCTGATTTTGACTTTTAAGTACATAACTCTAAAATCATGCTCGATAAATGATTTGTACATAAACGCTTCTGGCAATTATATTTATGCACGTAAATAATTATTAATCGTTGATATATGTACATGTAGGGGTGGATTTTTTGCTAAATTGCCATGCCAACTGAATTGCCATGCCAACTGAATTGCCAACTGTGCCATACTGATTTTGTGTCAATCGGTAATGGTACGGTATTGTACCGTACCGAAATTTCATCGTACGGTATTGGTAATGAATACCATTACCACAGTATTACCGTACCATACTGAAAATATAATATAATCTAATATATATAATTATATAATGCATATTTATAATATTTCAATAATTTGAATAAGACCCTACTTATATTAGCATTGTTGTTGGT